AGAGAGAGAGAGAGAGAGAGGGTGGAAAATAATTCTTCTCTATCAAGACTGGAAAGTGAGAACTGGGTAGCTCCTGCCCAAATATGGCGACAGTACTCCATTTTCGGCCTAATCTGGTTCTTATAAAAGTGGAGGAGTCATGTACTTAATGGATAAGGAGGGTATATAACAACTGATGCTTGTCTCGAAGAGGTTAAGTTTTTAGTGTTCGGGGAAGCATGATGCCTTAGTAGTGACAGTACGGATTAGAGGAACAAGACAACTGAACGCGTTTGCCGTGGAATAGCGATAGGAAAGAGGCCACAGAGTGGATTGATTTGTTATTACGGGTTATCAACCCTTTTTAGCTTATTTAAAACCGAAAAAATATTTCGAATTATATGAGGTCGCTCATAGTAGCTTTGTTCCCCACTGGTCCACCATTTAACTTGTGACAGCGCTCGACCATTGCTTAACTTCATTGATCGTACGGGGAAGCGATGTTTTCAGTGTGATTAGACCATAAACAGCAGAGTGGAAAATAAGTCTCCTCACACAAGACCGCGTAAACTCTAACAAGGGTGGAGAGTTAAGATTGAGCAACTTCAGCACAGATATGACAGTAACTTTGGTCTAAACTTATTCTTGTAAAAATAAAACATGACAAAAGGAGTCAGGTATTTGGTCTAAATTTACTCTTGTAAAAATAAAACATGACAAAAGGAGTCAGATATTTGGTCTAAACTTACTCTTGTAAAAATAAAACATGACAAAAGGAGTCAGGTATTTCCTGGAACGATGTCTGCTATTTCCCCAACATATGAGTTCCATTTGATGTCGAGAGTGAACTGGAAACTCAATAGATGTTTAAATCATGGAGTCACATTGAAAGTACAGTCAATTATCCTGACTGGAAAAAAATCAGGGTCTGATTGTTGAGGATGAAGCAGTAATAGTTACAAATAATTTGAAATAACTGGAAAGCAATAAAAGCATGTTAACACTGACGAGAGTAATTCAGGAGATTTGATGACACCTGAAGGTCGTAGGTCAAAGTTTAAATTGTTATGTCATTTTCGAGATGGCTCATTTTTTTTCTTAAACTCTTCAGAAAATAAAGTAAAATGGAATGAAATAGTTTATCGAACTAAAAGTATTTTTACGGAGAAATAAGAAATTATAAATAATAAAACAATCTTCTTTTAGTTTCAAAGAAGAGCAGATGAAATATAGAAAATTAACTAAATTTATAAATACCGTATAGTCATTAGCAAGAGGAGCAACAAGGGATGCGAGATACGAAGTAGAAACGTCAAAATCAACTAAATACCAAAATATAACTGTCGGTGATTCTTTTTAACAGATAATGGAAAATATGGCACAGAAATCCGAAGCCTCATTGCAATAGCGAAAAATGTTTTCCAAATGCAAAGGAAAGTTTTAAGAAACAGGAAAATTTCGTTAGAACTAAGGAAAAGGGTGCTAATGTCAGTCCTCCTATATGGCATTGAAGGCTGAATATTACCCTCACCGATGAAGTGGAGACATTAAGGTAGTAAAGATCTGGTTCTGCAAAAGGATGCTGGGAATACCGTAGATATCAGCAACGAAGGGTTTTTTAAGGCAAATGAAATGGAAAAAGACACCTATACTTTGGATCAGACAGAAACTGTTGAAATTTCTGGAACATATAATAAAGCAAGACGGCTTGGAAAATCTGACACTCACAGGACATACTGAAGGCTTGGAGGTGCAGCAGGAAATATCGAATAACTTACATAACGAGCTTGTGCAAATGGATGGTGGAACAGGGAGTGAAAGGAATAGTAAGGAGATAAGAATTAATTAGAGCTGCAAAGGATAGGTAGATATTGTGGAAGGTAATAATCGCCTAAGATTTGAAGAGTCGTGGCACAGAAAAGAAGCGAACAAACGGCTGAGTAAATCAAGAATAAAAATAATAAAGTAATATTTTTAAATATACGAATCAAAACCAATTTATTTTCTTTTTATGATTTCTTTGAATCTTCTACAAGACTTTCTTCTTTCTTTTAACTTCTCTTTGCCTCACTTTTGCATTCTTTTTTTTCTTTATTGATTTTCTATTTTCCCTTTTTTGGCATGTAGAATATGAACTATAAATAAAATATAATCATGATTTTTCGTTTTACAAATGAATGTTTTGAAAGGAACTTAGAAACACATTCTACATTTTCCTCCGTTTCTTCACTTTTTTAATCTTTTCTATTTGATATTTCAGAAAATAAATTATAAAACCTCAATTAATTGAATAAATAAATAAATAAAGTCTAGTACATTAGTTACGAACTATCATTGTAACTAATTTCATTTACCAAACCATTAATAACAGGTTTATCGACTGAGAAGTCATGTTAGAAATTTATCATTTTACTACATCACTTGCGTTGGCGACTTCCTTTAAATATGTGTTTATCTCCTTCGTAATTTACATCGCTGTAATTATTGGACATAGATGAGAAAGTATTAAGCACAAAAGAACGTAACGAGCAGAAGAAAAGGGCCTAAAAGGAAACAGAAAGAACGAGAAACCATTAAACGTTCTTTCTTTCTTTCTTTCTTTCTTTCTTTCTTTATTTATTTCTTTCTTCGCGAAGACTTAAGAGAAAGGCAAAAAAAGCTTTAAAAAAATTAAGTAATTCCCGAATACACGGAAATATATTCACTTTTATTTGTGATGAATCTATCTATCTATCTATCTATCTATCTATCTATCTATCTATCTATCTATCTATCTATCTATCTATCTCAGTGTGTTCACATTCGTCTGTTTATCGATATATATCTCTATCTCAGTGTGTTCATTCATCTATCTATCTATCTATCTATCTATCTATCTATCTATCTATCTATCTATCTATCTATCTCAGTCTGCTCATATTCATCTATCTATCTATCTATCTATCTATCTATCTATCTATCTATCTCAGTCTGCTCATATCTATCTATCTATCATTCATCTATCTCATCTATATCTATCTATCTCAGTCTATCTATCTATCATATCTATATCTATCTATCTATCTATCTATCTATCTATCTATCTATCTATCTCAGTCTGCTCAGTCTATTCATCTATCTATATCTATATCTATTCATCTACATTCATCTATTCATTCTATCTATCTATCTACCTAGATAGATAGATAGATAGATAGATAGATAGATAGATAGATAGATAATTTAATTCATACCTGCCTATATCTATATTCATATCTAACTAATGGTATTATTAAATCATATACAAAAAGCTTTCTCCCCTGAGCTTCGATTTCCGGCTATAAATCTGTCATTTTGCCCTCGTGTATTTGTATCGTGTAAATGTGAAAAGAGGATAGTAATAATAATAATAATAATAATAATGATAATAGTGAAGATGAAGATGATGATGATGATAATAATAATAATAATAATGATGATAATAATAATGATAATAATAATAATGATGATGATAATAATAATGATTATAAATAACAATAATAATAAAGAAATACAAAAACTGTACTCACAAGTACAGCTCACACATTACGGAGATCTTTATCTATGTAGAATGTGTATGATCTTAAGATTTTTCTTTTTTGTTTTACAAAAAATCATTAGTGGAAAATTGTCATGAAGCCATTTCTGACCTTAGGTCTCTAGTTGGGACACGAAACGAAATGTGTATACAAGAGAAATCAAAAGAAATAATAATAATAATAATAATAATAATAATAATAAAGAATGTCTACCGTCTTTACTAAACTGGTAAACATCAATTACAGAAATCTGGCCTGTACGTGCGAAATAGAAGAAAGACTTCATTGCTGCAACTCTTTTGAATACATCGATGATTTTATTTTGGTTTTCTTTTTCTTTTATAATCATTAAATCAATTAAATCAAGAGTAAATTAGGCATTCATGACGCTGCATCAATCACTATTATTCCATTAAATTCAAGTTCAGACATAATCGAAGTAGCTTTGGTATTTTTATTATGTATTTTTAACGCTGGCAATACATAGATGGGTAAACGTTTCATCACTTCACCATTTTTATTCAAACCAATCATTCCTTCGATGATAAATACGATGGTGTGAGGAGGGCTGATATAAGTTATAACCCGACCTTCTTTCTAAAATCAGACCAAATGCCCAAACATTAACCTTTTTTTTTGGAGAATGGCGTCTTGGTTGGGTAAGGAATTTTCCTACATCCTCGTTCATGTTGTACATAAACTCATATAATAATAAAAAATGGAACATAATTTTTATTATTTAATATGATAAAAGCATTTCAGCGAAAAAGAGGAGAGAATACTTAAAATGTATTCACTCACAAAAAAACGTAATAAATAAGTTAGTATAAATGTGCATTTATTCTTCCCTTTTATTTCACTCGCATTTTATTTTCAATATTTTTTTTTTTACATTTTTTCCTGTTACATGTTATTTAGTCACTGTTTCTGTCTCCGTCTGCGTCTCCTTTAACATCGGAAATTTCCGAATATTTCCGCTGTAGCGTATCAGAAGTTTTTTTTTTTTTTTTTTTTTTGTGAAATCTGTACTTTTAGCAAAAGAATACCAAATTGTTGTGAGTTTTACTCGTTGCTATTTTTTGTCTTCTTTTTTTTATCCGTGTTCTTGTTATTCTTATTAATAATTATATTTTTTATGCCATGAATAATGAATTGATATTTTTTGTTAATAAAAAATTCTAACCAAGATCGTCTGCACGAACAACCTGAATTACAAATACATAAGTGGCCGCACATCTAACTCAGAATTTGAGGAAAGGAAAAGTTAATGTGGTACTAAGTGTATTTTGTACAGAGTTGAAAAAATAGTCAGCCCACACTGGCGCATTCAGAGACAGCTATTGAAATAAAAACAAGTTAAAATAATAGCCAAACACTGCAGGCATATTGCATAAAGCAACCCTGTTGAAACCATTCATTTTTTTTCCTTCCGCCATTTTTATAATCTTTATATCGAGGAATGAAATGATTCCGCCTTTAGTTCTTTTTAGACGATTTTTGATTATCGGTTAATATTTAAAGTGTTTTTTTAATGACTGTTTTTGTTGAATGAACAAAAAAGACAATGTTTGTTCACTGAATCAGTCAGGAAAAGTAACATTACCGGCCCGAAAGCAACAAAGGAGATTATGGCCAAGCAGTTACAAAAATTCGAACGTCTACACAACAATAAATTCTATCCGTCCCTAATTAAGAAAACATATAATTATGAACATCATTATCGAAAAAGAAAAAAAGAAGGTTGGTGTAAAAGTGAACTTTCATAAATTAACCTTTAGAGGAAAGTCACCAATCCGAGACAAAATGTTCTAAAAGTAATCCTTATTTGTTATATCAAGAAAAGAATAAAATAAAATAAACACATGATACATTCCAAAGAAGAATCTGCAATGTTATTGGTGCTGACCTAGCATTTCACCTTCAGTCACTTTCCCAGCGTTGTAATGTAGCTTCCCTGTGTCTTTTCTATAAATACTTTCATTGTAATGGTTTCGGTGAACTTTTCTCTTTATTTCGCATCAGACAAATTGTACATATAGGGACTACTTCGGACTTCATGGAGATTCTGAGGTATTATGGTGGGTGTACTAAGAATGGTAAGTAAGAATGTTTTGTTTTGCTGTAAGGAGTAGTGCGGTATGTTTGCATTAGCAATCTACTTAGTTAAGTTTAAGATAAGACAGATTGAAGACAAGTCTTCCCTATCGCCTTTTTGGCCTTGTGCCACATTTCCTGTAAATTACCAGGAATAAATATTACTTTTCTTTGTGGTACCTAACCTTTATGAATTTAAGCGCAGTCAAAAAAACAAAATTTATTAAGCGCTAAAGAAGAACAGAAAATTGTAGAGGACACGGCACATAAAGAAGATGGAGAAAACTAAATTGGCAACAAGATCTTATCATTTTATCATTAAATTGAATATATGCAACCGTAAGTTCTAAGTCAAGAGTTTCTTCTCTCGGTCTTCTTGCTTATAGAAATTCCTTCCGGCTTCTTGCTTTCCAGTTGATCTTCAAAAATTTTAATGCAATATCAATCGTTATCTACTGTTTTCTTGGTTCATCTTCTTTTATTGTTCTCCTTCATTAATGACGTTTCTCTTTTTCTTATTTTTTTTACAATCAGTAACCCTTTCTCTCTTAGCGGCTTTATTGCTTGGGATGAAATGATAAAAAAAATGGAAGAAAAATTTTTTTTTGCTTACTAAGACGGTTGTTGTCTATGAATAAAAAGAATTTCTAGATGACAAAGCGTTATAAACAACGATTTGTCGACTAGAAATGAGTAGATAACACTCTAGTCCTGATCAAAAGACCGAGGAAAAGTGTGAACTGTACGATAAGCGAACCTATTTACTACTCTTGAGGAAAAGAATAATAAATGAAATTTCAGTGTTTAGGCAGAGACGTTAAAAATATAGAGTTGAAGTAGACTTTAGAAGGAATCGAAAACCCAGACCTAAATAGTATTCGTGCTAAAAAACAGGTATCTATCTATCTATCTATCTATCTATCTATCTATCTATCTATCTATCTATCTATCTATCTGCGTGTGTTTGTGTGTGTGTGTTTGTGTGTGCGTGTGTATTAGCTTAAAAGCCGCACTATTGGGCGGCATTTAAGCTAGGTCATCCGGTGGGCTATTGATCTGGCTTTCATCACAATAGGTAAAGAGAAGTAGATGCGATAGGGAACAATAAACTAGAGAAGAACTCAAAACTGATCGCCGCATTTAAGTATTACATTAATATTTAAGCTTACCTTTTAAAAGTTCAACGATAATTCTTCCGTCGTCACTTAATTTAAAAACAATTTGATGCATGTAGGTCCTTACTTTCTGTACAAAAAATTTTTTTATTTCATGGGTGAATTTCTCTTGATTTCGCAATTAATTTCGATTATACCTAAATTTATTTCCAAGTTATAAAAATTGTTATCGTACAAAATATTTTTTTCATTTGAACATGAGCTAATGAAAGTTGCAGAGTTCTGTCTCTAATTGTTTTTATCAGTAGAAGCCAATATGGCGTAATCCGAAAACAACCGCAGTAATGAAAACTTGGGAATCCAAAATTTCAGGTTTGCAGGTCCAGATCCGGCTGAGGATGCTTTGAATTTGCTCAAGGAGTTCGCGAAGCCTATGTTTATCGTCTGTTACGAAATTTGTAGCATCACTCCAGAAAATGATCAACAATATTTTCCCTCTTAAAAATAGAAATTTGAAAACTGGGAGAAATATTTATTAATAATCAAACTTCTGCGTTTAGTAAAATTTAGCTTTTAGGTTTCTAGAGCCTATTTTTTGTATAAATACACTCTCGTAAATTATGTGAGTTTTTCAGTTTTTCCGTAAACCTTTGACCAAGGTCAGTTGTTCGTTGTTGTGCACAAGCTGAATTCTCAAAGACTTTTCGTATAATTTATTATGTAATCTTTCGTATATTTTATTCAAGTAACTTCTTACAAAGCCTAGCGATTTTAAAGCAAATTAAGCGCATTTGAAACATACAGATTGAGATTGTTTACAAACGTTAGTAGAACCTATAATACATCTTCTCATCTGCTGACATGTTACTGCTAGAAAATTACATGCATTCATAAAACAACGTAAATACGTGACACTCTCCTTATGCAGACTCATTCTGTTATTTCTATCATAATAATACAACTGATTCGGTTGTATTATAAAGAAAGAAAAGAAAAGTATTTTTGTGCGAAGTTGTATCGTAAAGATTCTTTGTAAATCCGTTTGTTTCAATTTGAAAGAATACAAATTCTCAATAATAAAATTTATTTGAATTTCTAGAGTCGTGTTTGAAGATCGTTTATTTCTTCGTTTTCACGCTCTTAAACCGCTACATATATATTCATATATGTGAGTGTGCGTGTGTGCGTACGTGCGTGTGCGTGTGTTCGTGTGTGCGAATGTAGTCTGGAATAACATGCGCACAGTATTTTATGAACGGATCTACCATAATTGTTTAAAATAACTTCCATAACGTTCTCATTGTAGCTGTAATACATGATCAGACTGTAAAGATCATACATCTTTCTTATTTTTTCAAGCATAACACCCAAATATGTCCGCTTAAAATGATATAATTTATATGTCAAAACGCTCGACATAAGGAAGAACTATTTGAACTTATCAGTGCGAACACAAGATCTTACAACGGGGACCTGCGCACTCTCCTGCTTAAACAAGGCAATGGGGTTTAGTTAATAGCGTTCCGAATCAGAATAGCAAGCGGGACGAAAATGTATCATTTACCCCCCCCCAAAAAACCTTTTCATCTGCGCATGAAGAAGGCTAAAAATAGTGAAAATAGTAACGTTAAGGAGGGTGTGAATTATCGTCTAGCTGAATTGTAACTCCAGTAGAGTTAGTAATAAACTGTGGGAATTGTGTAGACAATAATATTGATGGTCCTTTTTTTTTGGTTGGGGAAACGGCATGGTCTTGGTTCAGTTCGCTTCTTGTTAAAGATTGGGTTCGATTGTATGTGAACCAATGCCGGTGATGATTGTAACTGGAGTTTCCTCACGTCTGTCAGCGTTGGAAGGGAAAGTGAACGTTATGGGAATTGAAACGGGGGGTAACTGGTTTTGCCTGGGCTTTTATAAACCACTCTCCATTATCGGAATTGTTCGTCTCCAAATCCATCGAGAGTAGCAAATCAATAAGGACATCTGAGTAGAGATAGGATCTGCTGAATTATGCTTCCCAATAGTTTTGCCTCGTCGACAACCAGTCATCCCCAGACTTGTGACTGACCGTCCATATTTTAAAAGTTCTTCCCTCCGTCTGAAAAACAAACAAACATGGATACAGAAAAAAAGGCAAATGGGTCGAAAAGAAAGACAATGACATAGAGAGGTGACAGGAGAAAAAATGATATTTAAATGCGCGTATGTTAACGTATAGGACATGTTTTATTTTATCTCATTTTATGTGTTGTTTTACGAGGTTTATTTGTGTGTCATTTTTGCAGCTATGCGTGTAACTGCGCAACAGAACCTTGTTTTCTTCTGTTATGATTCCTCTCAAGTTCATTACATTCACTTATACGTAAATACTTTTGAAAAAGGTATGAATCTATCTCCTCGAACACCTATGGATTAAATAGTAGGCCTTGTATCAGGAAAATCATTGTTATTCTCAAAGAAATGTTTATACACTATTCATCAGCAAAAACATTCTTACAATCCAAAATATCTTCCGTCTTTAAACTCACAAAATATCTTCCATCTTTAAACTCACAAAATGTCGATAAGCCGTAAAACAAATCAATGTCTTTTTTGGAGGAGGAGGATGCGCACACGCGCGTGTGTGAAACTATATACATATATTCCAATATATTTTCTGTTTATAGGTTATTTTTATGGATATAACTTATTTCAGTAAATGCTCTATTTTAATTAAACAGTATGACTAACATTTGCCGGCCTGAATGTTCCTAGAAAATATGCGATTCTCTGGAATCGAACCTGTATTTCATACGGAGACCATCATCTAGCTCCGAAATGTAACCTAACAATGACAGCATATTAGATGAAATGGATTAAATCCGACAAATATTTTAATGTATTTTCTGTTTATACGTTATTTTTACAGATACAAATAAATTGTCATTGTTTACGTTAAGTTATTTTTAGGAGCAGAAATAATATATCGAAAAAGATCGAAGATGTGTATTTATAAGCAGTAATTTGAACTTTGCTAACTGGAATGGTCTCTGTGGCTGAATAGGTAAAAGCACGTCAGATTATATATTTGTTTTCGTATGGGATACAGTTTCGATTCCTGTCGGAAAACGTATATCTTCTAAGAAATTCAGGCCGGTAAATGTAATTAATAATGTTTAAATAAAATATTGCATTTACTCAAATTAGTCCGATGAAGTCCTAAAGAATGGAACGCTTCACGAAAAAAACCTTTATATATATATATATATATATATATATATATATATATATATATATAAAGTTTTATATATATATATATATATATATACTAAATAATATATATATATATCAGTATAACTGCGCGTATACCAACAAAGTTCTTAAATGTTTGTACCTGCAAAGTGTTATATACATATATATATATATATATATATATATATATATATATATATATATATATAAATAAATAAAACTAAATTAAAATTCCACAATTAAATTTATGGTATATGATATATATATATATATATATATATATTAATAAATATTATTCGAGTTTCATGCTCTATGCAATCATCAGGTACTCCAGATCGTATTGTCGGCGTGGGTATTATGTATATTTATTAATATATACTTAACAGCCCTGTTATTTTTCATTGAGAACTGTTTTATTTACTCTAATATATATATATATATATGTGTGTGTGTGTGTGTGTGTGAACCCTAGCACGTACATTCATTTATATTTATCTTATATATATATATATATATATATATATATATATATATATATATATATATATTTGTATACTGAATTGTTCCAAATATTTTGTTTTTATGCAAAGAGAACTGAAAGACACCTGAAAAGTTTTTCTCTCAACAGACTGCGTAATTACCATATAAGGAACGTGTTTTCTTGTGTTAGAAAAAAAAATCAAGTGATTTTAATCTTGATAATACGTTGAGCATTCGTTTGATTCCGAGTTTCCATTAGTTATCCGTCAACATAATTTGATTCATGTTCAAATTCGATTATATTATTATATGCTAATACTTGTTGACAGCGTTTCGCCCCTTGTTAGAACTCTTTAAGGGCTCAAAGCCACTGCTATCGCATTGTCATCAATGCGTGTGTTTTTAGAGGGCTAAGAATCTGAAAAAATATTAACGTTTATATCTTTACAATCAACAACTGACTTTGTTAAGGTAATTCTATCAGATTAAGGGCATTGTGACAAGGAACGAGACAGATAGATAAATAGATACATAGAAAGATAGATCAATAGGTAGGTAAGTAGAAAACGTTGGTAAATATATAAAAACAAATTCAAGCAAATGAGCAGAGGAAATAGTTATAAATCTGTATTTGAACATAATGATATAAAGTGACATAGCTAGGTAGGTACATCCACTGATCGGTAAAAAGTTTAGCATACTATGATGAAAAATGCCACAAACTTAAAAAACAACAACAACAAAAAAAATCTTTATGTTATTATTAAGAGGAAAAACCAAAGGATTTTTTGATTTTTAAATAATATTTCTTAGTCTTTTTTAGAACGTTCGAAATTTAGATTAAAAATCTTGTTTATCTTGCGTCAGCGTGGGGGCAGGGTGCAAAGATTAGTATAGGAATTTTTAGCGTCTTTTTTTGCGGTGAAAAAAGCACTGATTTGGAAATTCTTGCAAAAATCAAATAATTGTTAGATTTTAAAGAAACCTTCAAGACTTATTCAAAAATGAATTAAATTATTTTAGAAATGCATTCTTTTTAGAAAACCTTGGCAAAAAATATTTTTGACATCTGTTGCTCCCCATTTATTCAATTTTATAAAATTTCGAGAAATTAATTTATGTAGAGCTCAATTTAAAAGCAGAACTCCATGGAGAATGTAAATCATCAATTTCTTTTTGTAAAACAGGACCCCCACTTACCGAAAATATGCTTTGAATCGTAAAATAAAAAAGCAATAAAACTAAGAAATTATTCAATTAGAAAAGGTTCTAATTACTTATATGAATAAAATATATTATGGTCGCTATTAAGGAAAATATTTTTTCGATGAATAATGAATTTTTTACAAGAATTGTTTTCATTTTTTTAAAAAAATTAATTATAATAATTTATAAAGTTTTAAATATTTGAAAATTCTGTCTTACTTTGTATGAGTTAGGTGATAATGTTATTAAGTAAAAACTATTTACTAATCATAAATGGAAAAGTTTAGTACGACCCACAGTATTTTAAAAATAATTTTGAATTTTTTTGGGTATAAACGTGTCGATTTTTGTAAATACAGACATCTATGCACGACATTATCAGAAATTAGAGCGATAACTATATTAAATTTAAAACTAAAATATCTAAAATTCAATAAAACATTAGATACAGAGAATATTTTTCCAAATTTTAAACATTACTGAGTAGTTAAAAATTATTTTAAAAAGGCGTTCACCTTATATTCCCCAATATCCACTGTAGAAAAACATTTGATAGACCCCTGTCTGTCACTCAAGCTGTCAACATGTCAACACCTTGGCCTTGGGGAAAATGCATTTCTACGATATTTCAAACTTAAAAGTAAATAATATTTCTTTCCAATCAGATTAATTAAACTTTAAATCAGATAACATTGCTCAAATAAAGTTTCAGAAAAGTATATTTTATTTTTGAAAGATTTTTTAATAAGGAGAATTACATTTCGAAGACAGAACGCTAAAAATGGCACTAAAATCAACGATGTCATTGATTTCAAAACGAAAATTTCTTCCAGACAACTTAAATTAGCTTTGATATACAGTGAAGTATTTTATTTATTGGAAATAATAAATTTAATCTATTAGCTTGAAATTAAATCTAAAATAAAAGCTCCAAGAAAGATTTTTTATTTTTAAAAATGATTTTAAATCTTAGGTATGGTGTTTTCTGTGGCGGTACCTAGTATATAGGAATAGACTGGATTTAATAAGATAAATAAAATGGAAGAGAGAGACAGTTATTTAATAATAAGTAAACCCTCAGTTTCCAGCCTTGACAGAGTTCAAAAGTATCTACGCGGCATTATGGGTAATGAATTATTTTCCAAATTATTCGATGCCTTCTGACTATTTCCGTGGAAAATATCCTGGCGAGCTACATTACTCGTTCTGGTATCATGGTATGCTAATCTTTTTACTGATCAGTAGATGTACCTACCTACCTATATCACTTTATTCTGCCTCGTCCTTTTACAGCTAAGACCCGTCATGTCAAGTATACAGGGTCGAATCATTTTCATTCCTTCCCAATTCCACTGGCAAGATGGAAGCCCCATATATATATATATATATATATATATATATATATATATATATATATATATATATATATATATATAGTCGACTCTCCCGTCGAGCTCGACGTATGAGGCTCAAGCAGATCTGTTCCCAGGAAACCGACAGCCCGACAACAGCACATGAGGTTTGATTATAGTGGTGAAGGTTTTGTGCAAGACCAGCCACACTTTCTGAAGGGCCGAATTCAGAGACCTGGTGCACTAAGTGCCACAAGGTCCCCAAACGACCCTCCGCAGGTTTTGAATTTAGAGTTGTCCTTCTCCTAGACCAGTTGCCATCCAAGGCTATAGAACCCAGTCTGTCCTGCTATATATATATATATATATATATAATATTTAAACTTATCTTTTAAAAGTTTAACGATAATTCTTCTGCTTTAATTTAAAGACAATTTGATGTGCGTAGTTCATTACTTCCCATACAAAGAATTATTTTTATTTCATAGGTGACTTTTCGTGGATTTCTCAATTAATTTCGATTATTCCCAAATTTATTTCCACGTTATAAAAATTGTTAAACACAAAAAAACATTGCCGAAAACAATCGCAGTAATGAAAACTTGGGAATCTAAAATTTCTGTAACATCAGTTATTGAAAGTTAGAGAGTTGTCTCCCTTTAATTGAATAAGTGTGACAAAATAACATTGCAATTTATTATATAGAAGATGAGGTATTGAAAGTTGCGTCTCTTTAATTGAAAAAGTGCGACACAATGACACACTGACTTGGGTATTTATTATATTTCGATATAATAAATACCATCTACAGTAAAATGTCTTTAAACTTAATAACTTAAAAACAAAGGATTTGCAGACATATATTAATGTGAACTTTTGTCTTTGTTTTGGTGTGAGGAACCCGCTCGAAAAGTTTGTAAAAATATTTTTGATACATTCTGTTTATCTATCTATCTATCTATCTATCTATCTATCTATCTATATGGTAGGGACCAGAACTTTTACTTTAAAAAGATCTTCGGTTTCTAGGCCGATAGGGACTAATTTCACACACACACACACACACACACACACACATATATATATACATATATATAGGCAAAGTTGAACAGACTGGGTTTGACAGAGTGATCGAGACAGATAATTATGTAAACCGTTTAAAAATAGGCAGATAGATACAGAAGTACTAAATCGATCAATAGATAGGTATTCGATTAAGATCGTTTTCTATTCTTAATCACCAAGGGGTCAGATGTCATCAGATTAATGATATATACCATAAATAAAGTCTGCATCGAAAAGCATAGATTCTTGATCTCATAAACTGAGACAAAAAAAAAAAAAAAACAGAAGGAAAAAAAAAACATCGAAAAATGTGGAGTGGAAAAGAAAAGAAAATAAATCCTGAAGGAACACAAATAAAAAAAAAGAAAGAGTCTGGGTTCTGATTAGAGATGGTAAAGCTGAAAGGTTCAGAAAAATTATAAAATTTGCGTTTAAGAACAAAATTACCTGAAATCAACACACACACACACACACACACACACACACACACACACACACACACACACACACACACACACACACGTACATAGGCACACACTACAAAACAAAACAAAAACACTACGAACTTTTGTTCCAACCCAATACATAATTAAATAACGCTGAATTCGACATATTCACATATTGTGTAGAAATTTCGACCTGGTGTAATTGTTAGCAAGATTGTCTTGTTGGTTCAATTATGACTGAATAGGGATTTTGATCATTACTGGGTGATCCACACTTTCGGACTTGCACCACATCTAAGCTCTGCTTAAAAGATCATTAGGGCACTTCGACCAGATGTAAATGTTAGCAAGCTTGGATGAATTACAACTGAGTGGCGAGTTTGATCTTCACTGGGTGCTTCCTGCTTTCGGCCTTGTGCCACATCTAAGCTACGCTTAGTAAATCACTCTATTTTGTAGAAATGGGAATATTAAGAAAGGTGGGTACTGGGTGTGGGCGGGAGTTCTATGAATGCATTATGGTTCCTAGAAGGAAATGTCAAGTCATCATGTAAGCTCCTATAAAAATGAAAGTAGTCTACTCTGATGTTGACGAATGATTTCGTAACATCTCGCTACCATATATAATTGTGGTGCTTATTAAAGAAATTACTTACGCTCTTGTAACCTGGAAAAGGTGCAAAAATATATTTATGTCGGCACGATTCAAAGAGAAAGAAAAAAAGAGAACATAAGAAAGAAAGAGAGACTCGGAAATCAAGGGTGGGGGATTACGAGAGAGGGAATAAAAGAAAAGAAAATGGTCGAGGTAAGAAGAAAGAGATGGAGAGAAAAAAAAGGAGAACTAGATTGAAAATCTAAAGCAGGAAAAAACAAAAGAGGGCAAATGAAGATTGATTCGTTTTTTTCCAGTTTATCAAACATTGACAGATTATTTAAAGCAAGAAATATTTTTAGATTGTAAGAATTAGTTTTAGATAATAATGGTTTAATGTTGCAAGTCGTACTAATTACTCCATAGCTGAAGGGGAGAAGAGGCGGATTCATACCTTTTCCAAGGATATTTGTACGTGAGTGAATCTAACAAACTCAATGGGAATTGGAACTTGGCACTCCGATTAACAATTCTTAGACATTATATCACCCAAATATTCAAGGTTACATTACCTGTTATTCCCAAGCGGTCACCCATCTAGGTACTAACAAAGCTCGACGTTGCTTAACTTCGGTCATCGTACGGGAATTGATGTTTCAACGTGATGCGTCCGTAATCCCTAGGAGAGAAGAGAGAGAAAGAATAGACAATTAGAAAAGGGAAACGAGTGAAAAAATGACAGAATAAATTATTAAAGGAAGAAGACAAATTGAAAAGATTTTTAATGAGAGGATAAAAAGCGAAAGAAAAATGATTGAGAGAGAGAGAGAGAGAGAGAGAGAGAGAGAGAGAGAGAGATATCAACGAGTAAAAAGAGAGAAAGAATGAAAGATTATAAGAGAGGGGATGCAAGAGAAAAGTAAGAGAAAGAATAAAAGATTATAAGAGAGGGGATGCAAGTGAAAAGTAAGAGAAAGAATAAAGGGATTATAAGAGAGGGGACGCAAGAGAAAAGTAAGAGAAAGAATAAAAGATTATAAGAGAGGGGATGCAAGTGAAAAGTAAGAGAAAGAATAAAAGAATTAAGGAGGGGAACAAGTGAAAAGCGAATGAATTCTAGAATAAGAGAGGTCGACAAGGATAAAGCGTGAATGAATAAAACATTAAGTGTGAGTAAAGAAAAGATAGAAAAAAAGTAACATATTAAAAGAGGGAGGTAAGTGGAAAGGGGAAATATTAAAATATTAAGAGAGGGGGATAAATGAAGAGAGATAAAAAATAAAATAATAAGATTGTGGGTAAGGTCTAATGAAGAGAGAAATACAGATTAAGTGAGAGCGCCAAATGTAAAACGTGAAAGAATATAAATTAAGTGTGAGGTGGGATAAGGGAAAATGATTTAAATTTTAAGACAGGGAGAGTAGTTAAAAGAGAGAAATAATCTGTAAGATTAAGAGAGGCGGACAGAGTGAAAGAATAAAAGATCAAGAAAGAGAAAGAAAGAGAGAGAGTCTTTCTAATAAAGAATATCTGTTTGGTTAATTAGTCAGATTTTTTAAAGCTCGTTATTTCCCCGTAAAAGAATAGCAAAAAATTGACTGCTTGAAGAGGATGCGAGAACTTAATAAGTCTCAGAACGCTTTATACACGTGACCTTTGGTGGAATCCACGTGGGAGCATCAAACTGTTTTTTTTTTAAAAAAGCAAACATTGTTATATAGAACATTTCAGTGGTGCATGTACAACTAATGACCATGTTTAACTGCAGATACTAAACAATTTTCCTTGTCCATCTTGCCGTGACACATCAAAATAGGTGTATACCTTCAAAAAAAATAAGTTGATTTTTGTCTCACATGTCTTAAAATGTTGAACGTGTCTTAAAATGTTAATTCTCCTGCGCAAAATTTAAAGAGGTTTCTTTGTGCCTCGATTTCAGCAACGGTTTCCTACGCCGTCATCGACTATTTCAACTGGCTTTGTTCAAGGTTAAAGAAGATTGTTGTAATAGAAACAATCTTCTTTACAACAACTGCAGCCTATTTTGCCATATTTACACCAACTAAAGGATTAAGCAAATTGAAGACAGAATGCACGGTTGTTAGCAAAGTGATGCGCCCCAATATGCAAATTGCATATGGGAGATACCAAAATCAAACAAGTGCGAAAATTTAAATCTACTATCTATATTTCTCATGTTGTCTGTCTGTGTGTCTGTCGTGGGCGTTGTTACCTCGCCCAGGCCGCATTTCTCACCCGATTTCGATGCGGTTTTCAACACAAGTTTGCAAATGGCTGCTGTAAGGACATGACGCAGCCCGATTTTTCAGTTCGGACTCAGGTTCCGAAAAAATCGATAATCGAAAAAACCAATAATCAAAAAAATCTGCTTACAGAAGGAATTATTGCATTTCAACCAAATTTGACACCCTCTTAGAGTCTACCTTTAGAAATGTTGTCCAGAAGTTTCATGACCACGGACCCCTAAACAGCACGGAAAATCGATAAAACCCAAAAGCCGATACGCCCAGATTGCACCTGAACCGCATGTGGGTTTTTTAGCGAAAACCGATCGGATTTATGAGGAGGCCATTGGGAGTCACCATGTGAAGTTTCAGCTCTGAGCGCCCCCCAAACAGAGTGCAAATGGACAATCGGTCAACCCGTAAAAATGTTTTTCCCGTTGGGTATTTCCTAAATGCAGATTAATTTAAGGTCACGCTATGCGCGGGAAGAAACAGGTTAGTGCATGCAGTGCTGTATGAGTCGTACGAGTTTTGAATCAAGCACGGGCAACGCCGGGTCATGCTTCTAGTATCTAATAAGTGTTTTAACAGAGGGCGGAAAGTGTGAAACTGAAATCCGAAGGCGTACTGGGATAGCGAAAGATGCGTTTCAAAAGCTAAGCAGAGTATTGAGAAATAAAGGAACTTCGTTAGAAACAAGGTAAAGTGTACTGAAATGTTACGTGATATCTGTCTTTGCATGACAGTGACTGCTGGACAATCTCCTCAAAATTGAAGGAGACACTTGAATCAACAGAAATGTGGTTCTACAGAAGGATGACAAGTATTCTAAAGATTGAACATGTGAGCAAAGACAAAGTTTTAGAGAAAATGGTAATAAAAAGGAAACTTATAATTAACGTCAGGAAGAGGCAGTTAAGGTTTCTAGGGCACATTCTGAAGAAAGAAGGCTTGGGAAATCTGATACTTACAGGACAGAGTGAGGGCAAGAGAGTAAAAGGAAAACAACGTATAGCACATTTATGGATGACGGGACAGGGTTTAGGAGAAATAACAGAAAAACAAAATTTATTAAGAGCTACAAAGGACAGGAAGTTGTGGAGGGCTTGAGGGGATATGGCGCATAAAGAAGAAGTACATCGTGAATGTAGAACAGGACAAGATACAAAAGGTCCAAATACCTGACAGGGCAGATCAGAGAAATATACCAAGCAATAGCCCAAGTTGACCATTTTGTAGTCGACTTACTCGGGACTATGTCTACGTATCTTTCTACAGCGGAAGACGCCTTGAGGATACGTGGTATTATTGTGAGGGCGCATGTGGCAGGACTGGTTGGAACAGCTTCCGTGCCAAGGAAAGTACTGTGTCTCTAATCTGCGTTTAAGCCAATATATGATCCTCATCACTCAGCCGAAACAACTAGAGTCAGAGAGGATCTCTAGCTAATATTAATAACATGGAAAATGGCAGGAGGTACTAAATATAAGGGGAAGAGTTGAGATTATTCAAATGGCAGCATTACTAGAATAGGTAGAATACTATGAAGTGTTTTGGATTAATAAGAAGACTTTGACATAATCTCTAGTGTTGGGCAGCGATGTACGACTGATATAAACATAATGGATGAACAACAACAACGATTAAAAGAGAGCAGAAAATAAAGAAAGACAGAAATGTGATTTCTACAAAGGGAAAGGTAAACAACTCTATGGATACACCAGATTTAACCTTAACTTCTTTTCTCGTACTTTTCGCTTGTGGAACTCTCTAGTTCCATGCTTTCCAGTCAACTTTAATCTTCAAAAATTTAAATTCAATGTAAATTGCATTTAGCATCCTGATTAATCTTCTTTATTCTCGCTCCTTAGTAATGTTTCTGTTTTCTAACTCTGCCACACCCAATAACTCTTTGTGTCTTAGTGGCTTTACTGCCTTGCTTGGGGTGATCTCGATTAAAAAAAAGAAAGAAAGAAAGAATTTGAAAGAAATCGTAAGGGAAATCTAAGAAGTGAAAGATCTAGACAAAGACCGACATAGTTGAAGGTCAGTCAGTTATGTGTCATGCATGATACACGCTTAGGCGTGTATCATGCATGACTGACGATGCAGATTTTTTCTGCCATTTCTTTCTGCGGTAGACCAGTTGCCATCAAAGGACATAGAACCCGGTGTGTCCTGCTATTTACCCATAGCTAGAGGGAGAAGAAGAGGATTCATGCCTTTCCCAAGAGTATTAGCAGGTAAGTGAATGTAATGGTTTCGAATACGGCTTTCCGATTCCTCAATCCATTACTCCACCGTACCTCCTTGAAGGTATGCTAGAATAATGGATAGCGGCTAGAATTGAGGAATCGGAGAGCCGAGTTCGAATTTCAGTTGAGTTCGTTCCATCACTTACATGTAAATACCCTTGGGAAATGTTTGTATCCATCTATTCCTCCGGTTTAGGGAGTATAGACTGGGTCTTATAGCCTTGTGTGGTAATCGTTCTAGGAGAAGGACAAGTTTGAATTCAAAACCTGAGTGGTCAAGTGTTCGGTGACTGAAACAGCTCCCCCAGCAGACCCTGATCTGGTGAGGAGGGTAAATGGGACCCCATCAGCAGAAAAAAGGGATCTATTAAAGGGTGAATGAAGTCCTCAGGGTCAAGAGCTATCTATCCCAACTAGCAATTGGCCAAGCGTGTTGCATACGGCTACATCCCCAGATGACATGGTCCATCAAGGAAAGGTTCCTGCAACAGGAGTGAGAAAGATTTGGATTTGGATCACGTGAGTTTGCGATGTCAAGTAGCATTACTTCCACAATACTAGCTAGAGAATATTCGCATTTTCTACCATTCACTGTTTCATTTCTATATATTCCCGCTGTATTCAAATTAAATTTACAAATTAAAAATGAGTAAATTCGGAGCTTAAAATGTTGTGGCTAAGGATACTGAGTTTTAAAAAATAAAAAAAAATACTCCATCTTATGAACTCAGACAATTTCAACAGCTGACAGAACACGACAACATCATCACAGATTTTGTTTTGATTATAATATGAAGCATAATGAACAGGCTAATGAGGATGACTGATTTTTGCGTTGAATAGCCTTGGCAAAACTGCAGATGGCGGTTATTTTTCTGATTATATCAATACGCGCAGATGTGTGTTTGTATATGTGTGCTTACTTGTCAGAGAAGGGCTTCGTTTTCTTTTATTTTAAATTACATCGTTTATTCATTCATTCGTTCGTTTGCTCATTCAATCATTCATATTTGATTGTGCAATTCCAAGTTAAATTTAGACAAATCATCTTAAAATACAAACAAAACTAAAAAAATATGCGTGTAATTATCTCGATGAATTGAAATCGGACAGTGATCTGCGCAAATCACGTGACCCTATTTTCCCGCCAGCAGCCCGAATTAAAAAAAATTAATTTAATTGATTAACAAAAGATAAAATTTTTTGAAAAATAGCACAGAACAAAGCAGAATACAAATTACGAATAAGAAAATAAACAGAAAAATGAAGAAAATGAAAAAGAAGAAAAGATCGATAACTAAAGTTTTGAAGGTGTCATTGAAACTCGCACGCTAAAATAAGTCACGTGTTTAATTTTTTCATTCACTCACCCCCACCCCCGCTCAATATCCTATCTTATTCTTCTGGAAAGGTTCTTTCTTTCTTTTTTCTTTCTTTTTTTCTTTCTTTTTTTCTTTTTTTCTTTCTTTCTTTCTTTCTTTCGTTCGTTCGTTCTTTTTTCTTTCTTTCTTTTTGTTTATGTTCCCATCTTTCTTTTTCCACTTTCATTCTTTTTCTCTATTACGTTTCCATCTTTGTTTATTTGTTTCTTTGTCCCTTTTTTCTTTTCCCTAATCTCTTTTTTCTCTATTTCCATCTTTCTTTCTTTCTTTCTTTCTTTCTTTCTTTCTTTCTTTCGTTCGTTTTTTTTTTCTTTCTTTTTTGTTTATGTTTACATTTCTTTTTCCACTTTCATTCTTTTTCTTTATTACGTTTCCATCTTTGTTTATTTGTTTTTTGTCCCTTTATCTTTTCCCTAATCTCTTTTTTTCTCTATTTCCATCTTTCTTTCTTTCTTTCTTTTTTTCTTTCTTTCTTTTCTTTCTTATCTTCACATTTCATCTTTATTTTACTTTATATTCAATATTTCTTTTCTATCTATCTATCTATCTATCTATCTATCTATCTATCTATCTATCTATCTATCTATCTCAGTATATTCATATCTATCTATCTATCTATCTATCTATCTATCTATCTATCTATCTATCTATCTATCCAGCTTCAGCGTTTCCTTTATTAGATTTATTTTTATTTTTTAATTTTTCATGCTCATCTTTCTTTCTTTCTTTCTTTCTTTCTTTCTTTCTTTCTTTCTTTCTTTCTTTCTATTTACAAATGAATTTAAATATTTCAATTTGTTTTCTAGATTCTCTGTTCCCTGAGGAGATTATTAATAATGGCAACGTTGTTATATTGTATTTATTTCTAATCCGTTCGCCGAATTTTCAACAACACAATTTCTGAATTGGACAAGATCCATTCATTGAAAACACATCGTCATTCACTTGCAGGTTCAGCACAATCGTCATAGCAACATAATTAAGAATTTGGAGATTTCACATTCCAACGCAAATGTTGCAAAATCACTTTTGTGAAAGGAAATAAGTAAGCGCCATTTATTTTTAGGGATCAGTCACTCAGTAAAACAAACCGAGTTCTACTTCCGGTTGATAGGTGTAGAGAGAATTCGTTAGGTTTGTTACGATACTAAATGCATATATTGTATCGAACCACCTTCATTCTCTTTGTATTCAATCGGTGAAGAGTTACGGCCGTATCATGCTGAAACACCTGTTCTCGTACGATCACCGAAGTTAAGCAACGTCGACACTAGTCAGTACCTAAATAGGTGACAGTTTGGGAATACCAGATGCTGTAAGCTTGGATGTGTGGGTGGTGTATGAATAATGACTCGGAGTTGGAAATCGGAGAGCTGAGTTCCAATTCCAGTCGGGCTTTCTTACGCACGAATACTCTTGGGAAAGGTATCAATCAACCTCTTCTCCCCCAGCTATGGATTAGTTGAGCTTGTATCAGTAAAAATCATTATTATCTTAAAAAAAAAAAAGAAAAGATTCTTAAACTCTAAAAATATTTTCTGGCCTGAAATAATGTTTTAAATGTTAATAACCCATTAAAATGATGGAAAATCTGGCTCGAAACTTTCAGTACCTCAAAAACCAAGATTGTAACTCTTCATCATCGCCAAGTCAACTCCAAATTCTCACCAGTCACAATGAATATTTGCACTCTCAAATCATCACACAAAAAAGTAAATTATTCAGTGACAATGAATTAAACTCAAAGCAAAAGGGTCCCCAATGTTTGAATGTACAGTTTATGACTGGTTTTTAACCATGATCAAACATATTTTCTCACAGAGTTAAAGAAAATAAAGCGTATTTTTGACGTAACTTATATAAAACATTTTTACATGAATAGCGAGTTAATTACTGATAAGGGAAATGATTGTAATATTTCTCATTTGCAAATAATTAATCATGGATTCAAAGAGAAATGCAGACGACAGTATTTAAGTAATAAACTCGAGCTTACAATACAGAGAACTTGCAGCAGGATAATGAATAGAACAATTACATTAATAGGTCATTCGTTTATATTATATAAATTAACATTCAGATTAATTTCGGATTATTTAAATTTTTATTTTGTATCGTCTGTAATTTGAATTATAACAGCAAATGTTAAAAAGATTTCAGCACGTTTCATTTTATATGATGTTTGTATACCTTGCTTCTTGGAGGATATTACTTTAGATAAAAATAGTCTATTAAATTCAATTCTTTCAGAATAAAAAAAAAAGATGGATATATTTAGTCACAAATGAATTGAATATTACAAAACAAAATAATTTTTTTCTGGTTGATTTCATTGATTTGTTTTTTACGGCTTATCATCCCATTGACAGGTTATTTAAAGCCATAAAATATTTTTATATTGTAAAGCAACAGAGTTGTGGTGAGCTATGGCCGAATGAAAGAAGAATAGTATCACTCATATTTCAAAGCAAATTCATAAATTCATCATTTCAGATTTTTTTTTTTTTCTCGGCAAAGAATTGTTCATTTTTTGCAATATAGAGAACACAATAACAATCAGCTACAAAACTATTTCTACATAATCGCCCGCCATTGGATAGGCATTTGCCTTGGTGATGAAAATGAACCTGTGCAAATCCGCACATAATATAGCTTGTCACACACGTTGTTGTCACCAACTAAAATGTAAATAGAATGGAAAATAAAAGAGTTATTGAAAGAAAGAAGGTAATTATAAGAAAGGCGTCTAACATAGCGTAATGGTTAACAAACTTCTTTCGTAGTTCCAATAGTAAAAATAGGTTCATTGATTGCCTCAAAAAATGTAGCCTTAATTAAGCTAAGTTTATTAAACAACTACACATGGCTCGTTTAAGAGCAAAATTAGTTATATATTTCCCAGTATATCAAAGGCTTGTAACTTTCAATGACTCAAAAACCAAGCCGGTGTCGTTTCATGATTACTGATTTAATCTTGTGTATTCTCCTTTCACGATGAACAGTTGCATTCTCAATGAGGCTTCATGCTTTAAACGTCTATTGAGCCTCAACTTCACTCCAGTGGAACTCATTCATTGTTAAAGGAGCGGGAAGCTCACTATATCGCTCTAGGAAGTACCTAACTCCTTCAGTCAGGCTTTATCTTTACAAGAGTCAGATTAGACCAAAAATAAATTATAGCTGACACATCTGGGCTGGAGTTTCTTAATTATCTATTTCCAACCTTGATACAGTTCAAAAATTGTTTAGACGGCCTTATTTTAAGACTTATTTTATAATCTGCAACTGTCGTTATTTCTATAGCAAATCTTTAGATGGACTCCATTCTTTATTTCCACTAGTTTTTATCTTTACAGCCTGAACGCCCCTACAAGTTCCATGGTGACGAATTAAACATTCTCCGTGTTTCAAATATCAGAAGAAAGTTACACCCAAAGAGCTTTCCCCCATAAAAAAAACACCACTTTGTGAATCAGACTCCCACGTGGGTGTTTTCAATCCTGACCTTTTCAAATCAAAGGTCAATCATTATCTTTCTTCTTTATCCACATAAACTTCGTTTCCCATCTCTTTCATTCATATCTCATTCATATCTCATTCATATTCATATCAGATTAATTCATCGTTAATATTTTGATTGTAACTCTGTACCATGAGGGGCTCTCGAGCCTTATATTGGGTTACATTTACTACATAAAAAGGTCAGAAAAGAGGTCAGATCCGGAGTTAAGGCATGAGTCAAGATTTTGTAATATTGATTTTAAAGGCGCTCTCTACTTGACCAAATTGGCGCAACGTTATCTTTTTTTTTCTACATTTCCCACAGTTGGGTTGGTTAAGCAAGGGTTAAAAAGAAAGAAGAAAATTATGTTTTACTGCTCACATATATATATGATAGAATTATAGAATCATTTTTAACGACTCTTAAAACATTTTTGAACTCTTAGCATAATTATTATTATGACTCATCTGTTTAGATTAATTTTTCTTTTTTTATTAAACTGAAAAGTATATTATGCTTTTTTGCAATACGACAATGATCTGTTTTTGTCCTTACCTGTGGTCAGAATTCGGACAAGTTGGGATGAATCTTAAGAAGGAGAGAAACGTAAAGTACAACAATAAGCTCTGCCGTCTAAAGTATGAAGATGACTCGATGTAATACGTCGGCGATGCTTCGGTTGTCAAAAACAGATGTTTTTCTATTAAGTAATATTAAAAGCAAATAAGAAGTGAGAAGCATTGATTTTTCAAGAAGGGAAGGAAAGGCTCAATGTGTGAGAAGAAAGAGAGAGAGAGAGAGAGAGAGAGGGGGGCAGGTATGAGAACCAAAGAGAATTGAAATAAAGAGGAAGAATCTTATAATAAATAAGGAGACAAAGACAGAGAGACAGGTTTAATGGGTTGTAGAGATACAAAGAGAAGGAAGGATATGAAAGATTCAGTACATGAGAGAGAGAGAGAGAGAGAGAGAGAGAGAGAGAGAGAGAGAGAGAACCAAAGAGAATTGAATAAAGAGGAAGAATCTTATAATAAATAAGAGACAAAGAGAGAGACAGGTTTAATGGGTTGTAGAGATACAAAGAGAAGGAAGGAGAAAGATTCAGTACATGAGAGAGAGAGAGAGAGAGAGAGAGAGAGAGAGAGAGAGGAGAGAGAGAGAGGGAGATGAGAACCAAAGAGAATTGAAATAAAGAGGAAGAATCTTATAATAAATAAGGAGACAAAGACAGAGAGGGTTTAATGGGTTGAGAGATACAAAGAGAGGGAAGGAATGAAAGTGGATAGAGAGAGAGAGAGAGAGACAAAAGAGAAAATGAAAAGAGAGAGGGCAGGATGAGAACCAAAGAGAAAAATAAAAGGAAGAAATAAATGAGACAAAATAGAGAGAAGTTTGTTTGTAGAGATACAAAGAGAAGAAAGAATATGAAAGAATTATTCATTGAATAAAGAGGAGAGGGGATAGAGAAAACAGCTAAAAACGGAGATCAAGCAAAGATTTACGGGGAATGAGAGTGAGAGAAGAACCCAGTGGATAGAGAGAGAGAGAGAGAGACAAAAGTAAAATGAAAAAAGAGAACGTTCGATGCCAAAAAGTAATGAAGAAAGAATGAGAAATAGAGAGAAGTTTGTTTGTATAGAGATATTGAAAGAAAGAAAGCGAAGGAATTATTCATTGAATAAAGAGAGAGAGAAGAAAACGCTGAAATGTCAAAGAACAAAGATACAAGAAGCAAAAAAGGTGCGAGAAAGTGCGCGAGCGCGCGCGTGTGTATGTGTGTGAGGGAGAAGTGACATAAAGAAAGAGAAGGAAAGACACAAATAGATAAAATGAAAGACAGCGCGAACAGAAAGAAAGAAAAAAGACAATAATCAAGAAAATGAAGAGAGACTGGCACATAGAGAAAGAATGAAAAAGTGAGAGAGAGAGAGAGAGAGAGAGAGAGAGAGTTGTTGATTGGTAAAGAGAAGTGAAAAAATATAATAAAATTATGAGAGTGAGAAGTAAAATAAAAAAAGAACAAAAAAGGAGAAAGAAATAAAGAAGGTAAGTAGAGAGACAGAGAGAAGTAAAAACGTAGAGAAAGAGACAAAAGTAAAAAGATACATTAAATAAAAGAGCAGAGCGAGAGAGAGAAAGAGAGAGAGAGAGAGATATAAAAGTTACTAATTAAAGAGAGAACTAAACCTTACCACGTTTATTCATCTGAGTACTGACCAGAGGAGAGAAAAGTAAAAGAGGAATCAGACTAATGCTAGATAAATACATGTAGAAATATGCGACAGTTGCTAATTTTGAATTAAATGTTGAATATTGTTGCCACGTTTGATTTGCTGCGTTTGATATAGAGAGAATATAAAAAACCCCCCAAAGAATCCAAAGAAGAATTTGCAATATTATCGGTCCTGACTTGGTATTTCACCTTCAGTCACTTTCGCAACGCCGTGACGTTTACTATAATATATCTTAATTTCCAGCTTCTTGCTTTCCTGACAACTGCAATCCCCAACATTTTAAATGCAGGGTCAAACGCCATCTTTGAATCTTGTTATTTTTATTGTGCTTTTTCTACAATAAAGTTTTCTCCGTTTCTTTTACTCTCAATAACCCCTTGCGTCTTAGTGGCGTTATCACCTTACTTGGGATTAAATGATTAAAAAGATTATTCTAGTGGAACTGAAAAAGGATGTCATTAAATATAGTGATCTTAATGGTATACTCCACTTACATCACCAATGAAAAAAATTTTACAGCCCACTAACATATGCCAAATACTAGACTAAGTCATTAGAAAATATCATTATCATTGGGGGACTTACATGCAAAAATAGGACGAGAAGATAGTGGAATTGTCGCTAAGTGTTTATTTCAATTGCAGAAAGAAAGGGAAGAAAAAAAAGTAATAACTAAAAATTGATGTGATGGACACTTATGAATCAGAAAAGACTGTAAAACATGACCGGTTTCTTAAGCATCAGAAATGAAAGTTTTGCACGCTAAAGATATAACCTAGGTGCTGACTTTAGGAGTGATCACCTCTTTGACAAATGCAAAGTAACGGTAAAACTACAACCATTAAAAATGTACAAAGCAAGGCCTAAGCTGTAATATGACAAACTCCACAGTGATTCTATTTGTAAACAAGCATACACTGACAGTTATGAACAAATAAGAAAACTCTGGAAAAGGTAAGGAGCTCAAAGTGGAAAAGCTTAAGGAACACGATTAGCATAAGAAATCATTCAAAGTAAAAGACGTAAAAAGAAAGAGAAGAAAATAGTGGATGCCAAGTGAAATTCCCGATCAAATAAAATAGTGATAGCAGATAACAAAGATATGATGTAGAATATAAGAGGTTGATAAAACCTCCGATATAAATGCTAGTTAGTAAAACAAGAATGTCTTAATAATAAATATAGAGAGATCGCAAAACTGTAAAACACGGCTACAGCGAGCAGGCATAAAAGGATAAAAGAAAGATAGAAATCATACTCTTCGGCAGGATATTTATGATCTCAAAACAATAATAACGGGAAAAGATCTGGTACGACAAAGATGAAATGAATACATCGGTGGGCAACGCCATTACAATAGAAACGAGAATTTATTTTTTTTAACATGCTCACGTCGCAACCGAATGTGACACAAGGTCGGGGTTTAAAGTGGGTTTTAACGGCCACACTGCGGAAAAATTGCTCAAGCCCACTCGACATTTGCTTTTGGGGTTGCCTCAGTCGCCGGGCAATAAACCCATCCCCTACCTGAAAGAGAGGTACTGCCTGCGGCGAAAGCTCCATTTGGCTTGGGCTTAGTATTTTTTATTCTTCCCCGGCATCTGCTAAGTAAATATAAACAGCAAAGGAAAGAAACCTGCAACGCATTAAAGAATAGCTAGGCTCGACATATCAAACTATGAGTTTAGGTCAACATTGAACAAGATGATAACGATTGATTTGTTTTCTACGGTTTATCAACCCTTTGCAGGTTATTTTATTTTTAGAAAGAATTTTTTTAGATAAAAATGATACATGTTTTTAGATTGTAAGAATTATTTTTTAGATAATAATGGTTTAGAACTGATATCTATTGTCTTACATCCAAGCTTAAAGCCGTTGGTATTCCCAAAGCGGACCCCATAACCCATAGCTCGGTGATCGGAGAAGAGATGGATTCAAGATGCCTAGTTCAGAGGAAACCTGGACAATTTTGATAACATGAAATACCGGTTAGTAGAACGAATCCAACTTGGTGGGATTTAGAACAGTTTTGATTTGTTCAAGGATCTGTCCTATTAAAATCTATTACACGATTACACATGAACATCCAAGCTTAAAAGCCGTTGGAAAAATTCCCAAGCAAGACCCCATAAAGGTACTGACCAGGCTCGATGTTGCTTAACTTCGGTGATCGTACGAGAACATGGCGTTTCAACGTGATTTGGGCATAAGTCAAGATGACGAATAACGTAGTAGGATCAGAGGAAACTGTCAATAGAAATGTAGACGAACTCATATAATATTTATATATATATATATATATATATATATATATATATATATAAGATAAAAAATCTAAGAAAGGACAATATAATTGATAACAAATCCTCTGATCAAGGTAAAAGTAAGGATTTTTTATTTGGTTATTGCTTTTCAAAAATACATGAATATTAATTAGGTTGGTGGAAAAGTCAGGCAATTCACTAATGTGAGGTGATACAGTTCTATGCCTATTAAACCAAAGTGAGTAAGAAGTATTTTTATGTATGTATATATATGTAAATTAGTATTTAAATTGTTTTTATTAGGATTCAACGGTTAAACCCATAACCTCATGTTAGTCGAAACATATAACCCATAAATTAATTAGTTTTCTAATTTTACTTTTATTATTTAACTGTATTTAAAATCCCTTATTTATGTTTGATATTATTATCATTATTGTAATTTTTATTTATTATTTGTATTAAAGACCCTTCTATTAGACCAACTAATTTGGAATTGGATTGATTTGTCCTGCTTAAAATTACGGGCTCAATCGGTCAGTTTGCTGTATGACCCGATGTACAATGTTCCACACTTTAAGGGAAAGATTCTTGGCCGTGTCAGTCTTTTTAGGCTTACTACTATAAACCCCCCCCTCATCTATCTTACTTGGTGATTCCCTTGTTTCTCTCTTCTCTTCTCTCTTGTTTTCCCTTTCCTCTGTCCATCTAATATAGATGTCCCGGGTATAGCCTCCATTTACTAAGAGATTTCGGTCTGAAGAGATGAATATATAGATATTCGCGAAATAAATTATAACCGAAATGAATTTTATTATTAACAGTTTTAAGCTCTCCCCTGGGATTAATATCCTCCTTGGAATTATTTAGTTTATATATATATATATATATATATATATATATATATATATCTGAATATATATATTGGTCCGTTTATATATATATATATATATATTTATAAGATTATTGTTTTATATATATATATATATATATATATATATATATATATATATATATATATAAGGCAATAAGAATTTCCAAGGCAATAACAACTAGGGATGCAATGACTTTCTGAGAGTGAATGAAACACAGGGGGACAATATAAAGACAGGGTTCAAGGAGACAGATGACGACGATTGACATTGAACTTGAGGCTTACGGCGATATCACGTTGAAACACGGGTTCCCGTACGATCGTCGAAGTTAAGCAACGTTGAGCCTGGTCAATACCTAGATGGATGATCGTTTGGGAATACCAGGTGCTGCAATCTTGGATGTGCCGGTGGTGTAATGAAAACGGTGCGGAATTTGAAATCGGAGATCCGAGTTCCGAGTACAGTTTGGTTCATTATATTCAATTAAGCACACATTGAAAAATTATGAATCCACCTTTTCTCCCTCCAACTATAGGTTAATTAGTAGGACTTGTATCAGCAAATCATTATTATCACTACCAAAAAAAATTCTTACTATCAAATATATATATATATGGCTTAAAAAAAATTAATCAAAATTAATTGAAAGTTTTTAAGATTGTAGCTGAGAAAGCAGAAGCCAAAAGCCAAAAGTGTGGAAGAAGAAAATATGGGCATAGAACTTATCTTTACAACTAGCAATTTCAATAGTAAAATTATGATACCTAACTGCTAATCTAGTACTGCGCTTAATTTCTTGAAGTGGAGCTGCCAACGAGAAAAAGCTCATCAGAGCAATTACCGTGAAAATGTTTATAAAGTGAATAGAAGCTACGTTACGGCGGTGGGAAAGGGACTGAAGCCGAGATGCCAGTTCCGGACCAATAATGTTGCCGATTCTTCTTTGGATTTTGCCAAGAACCTCTAAATATCTAGCAGAAGCACCAGACCAGATGTGGCATCAATTGGCAAGGTAGTCATGGAGAGCAAGGAGGTGGCATCAACTGCAAGAAAACAGGATGTACGGTTGTCAGCAAAGGGGACAACCCAATGTGTAAGCTATATAGAGAGACGTAAAAATTTAATTACCTGTTTAATGTGCTAACAGATAACAGGAAATGAGACACAGAAATGAGAAGGTGCATAGGAATAGCGAAAGATACCTTTTAAAACTAAGCAAAGTAAAAAAGAAAATGTCATTAGAAAACTGCTGAACTTCCATGTAATATTTAATTTTTAATATGGCGGAGAATGCTGAACAATTTCCTCACAAAAAATACTGGAAGCGACAGAGATGTGGTTCTACCGACCAATGTAAAGAATACAATGAACAGAGCATGAGAAAAAAAAAGGAAGGTTTTAAAAACAATAGGAACACAAAAGAAATTACATCTACCAATGAGAAAGAGATATGAGGAATTCTTCGGACACGTAACGAAGAAATAAGGTTTGCAGAATTTAAAATGAATAGGGTTTATTGAAACAAGAGAATCAGAGATTGACAACGAGTAATCAGCAATCTTTAACCTTCGTGCCCACAAAATGACGGTTTGACAAGAACATGGGTTTTCTGTTGACACCGCGATTATTTTAACTACCTTCACTCCTCGGCAATGTTTATTGTTTTAAAAAGCGATGATTAAAATTGTAATAAAACCAAAGAATATGATGAAAGTGAATTTAAACATTTTTTGTTCTTGAGACTTCACAACAAAAATATTAAAATCTATCTAAATATCTGTCTATATTTCAGAGATGAAGCATTGTAATTATTTGTACTGTTCGACTGTTGTCCTCATCTTTGTCATATTCACGACTTTTCGGCCGTTGTACGCTCCAACCATCTTCAGGTTATTGGAATTTTGAACCGAACCCTTCATTTCGTTCACCGAGGTAGATTTCTAGTTCCACATGCTATGCCCCTTCCGGATATCTCAGCTTCAGTTATGTCCCTTTATCTCAAATCTTCAAGTTCACCTCTGCCGTGGCCAGGTATTGAACTCACAACTCTTTGGGTCAAGTCACAGAATTACTTCAGCCAATGCTTTTTATCCACTTGGCCATGTATGCTCAATGTCCTCAGTACAATACAAATCATTTTACCAATTTATAAAGAAATAAATGCGAAAACAATTTTTTTATTTATAAATTTATAAACATTAACTAAATTATTAAAATATGTCAGCCAACTATAATGAAATCCTTATTATTGCCGTGGAGTGAAGGCAGTTAAAATAATAGCGGTGTCAAGGAAAATACCGTCAGTTTGACACACCTTTTTTTTTTTGACGGGCACAAAGGTTAAAGATTGCTGATAAATCTACTTGAATAAATATATACCAGAACAATGACCACAACGACAAAGAGTTGTGGTTAAGGAGGATGAATTACAATAGCAAGACAGGAAGTTGTGGAGAGTTATTATTAACAACGTCCTGAGGAGATATGACACTTGAACGCCCCTCTCCCCACATATATACAGGGAGGAAGAGAGAGAGAGAGAGAGGAGAGAGAGAGAGAGAGGAAGGAAGATTACTTATGGAAAGAAAGAAAAAAGAAAATGTTAAATGTATCGAAGGAATAATAAAGAGAAATAAAGAAAAGAAAAGAAATAAAGTACAGATTAAAGAAAGAAAATCAAGAAATAATCATGTTTTTTTTTTATTTCTTTTTAGCCCACGAACCTAATATGGTAAATACAAAACATGTTTGCTGTGAGTGACCTTTCTCGTGAGACTTGATACGAACAAAGCGGACGTTGCCAAGCGACGAAGCAAGGAGGATTTTTAAGAGATACGTGTTAAGCATGCTCTGTCTTGTTTTTCTGACCGCCACTTCCGAGCGGTGATTTTTGTCGCTTCTTCAGCCGCAACAAATATCACTATAAAGAAGATTCGTATCAAACAACTCTTATCCAATGTTTTCCTCTCTTTTTTTTTTATTGCTATTTTCTTTCTAGCCTCTTTAGATCCCGATTAACTTTTATCATTTTATTCCATTCTTGGAAAATTTTGGGAAAATGGACAAATAATTTCATATTTTAAAAATTCGTTTTTGCTTTAAATATAACGTTACTCGACGTGCCGAGTTCAATTTCCAGTTTGGACACTTTGGATTCAATTTTTCATTAATGCGCTTGGGAAATGAAAGAAATCCGCTTCCACCCATTTAAGTATGGTTAAATAATAGTATAGACATATCGATCTAGAATTAGGTGTCAACCAATCTAGGAGAAGGAATACTTTGAATTCAAAACCATGCAGAAGACTACAGGCAATCACTACATTATCTTTCCTAAGTAGTCACAGTAATTAACAGATAAAGAAAAAGGTGTTTGGAGAGAGCTCTGATCATGATCATATACACCCACCCATACAAAAAATCCTGATTTATATTATGTAAAATAAAGCCATTTATTTAATAATTTCTACATATGGGCTTTGACTAGCACATTTTCAGACCACTATTAAGTTATATTTCGCTGCTCTAAATAAGGGGATTCGTCTTCTACGAGCCGTTTCTTTTCAAAACGTGGGTAATGATGGCTCTCCACGATATGCTAGTGAGGGGCTAGCGACGTTTCGTCTGTGGGAAAGAGGTTGTAGGGTGGAAAACAATTTATCATCCACAAAGCTAAATGCTTTTGAACTCTGTCAAGGCTGTAAAGTGACGACTGAGAAGCTCCATCTTAGATATGTCAGCAGTACTCAACTTTCGATCTGATCTGGCTCTTTTAAAGGTGAAGCATGGCATGAGTAATCAGGTACTTACTGATGCAGACCATTTTTCCAGCATCTTTAGCGATGGGTCGTATATATGAGTTCCGCTTGATGTCTGTGGTGAAGTCTACATTTAAGGTATAAGGCCTCCTTGAGAGAACAGGCTTTTATCGCGATAGGTGATAATTCATGGTCGCGTACGTTATTCATTTAGTCTTTGATGCACTGAGTATTACAAGTCCGTTATTTCCTTTATTGAATTGATATATGAACAGTAACATCCCAACAAGTCTTTCTATATTGGGGGTTCTCAAGCAGGATGGGTGTATTTCAGCGCTTCAGAGTGAGGGAGGAATTTTACTTTTTCTTGATTTTTATTTACAGAATTTTGTTTATCGAATTACAATATTGAATACAGTACCCTGGAATTTTATTGAATTTTTGTTCAGTGAAGTATGCTTCAGTTTACTTATTTAATAATTAGTTCGAAATTAAACAAATTACTGTACATGTATTTACAGTTTAAAAATCCATGAACATTCTCTATTGCTATTAAATTTTTAAAACTTCTCCATAAAAAATAATCCGAGTAATTGTATATATACTATGGTATATATATATATATATATATATATTATGAACGCGAATGAAGACTTTCAACAATATAGGGATATTATTTCGAATGCACTTTGTGAGTCGGACAGTCTTGGAAAGTGGAGAATGACATTCAAGTTTATGATGAAAATGATGTATTGACCCGAAAATGTTGACAATCACTGTTCTATACTATTTGTGTATGGATTGTGAATTTTAAATATTTTGAGGTCAAAAACACAATGAAAAAAATATGATTTGCAATGACGATTCTCTGTTTGAAAGAACAAGACGAGCAGTTCTTGAAAAGAACGATCATAGCCGAAGAAAAATCAATTGTTTACAAAAGTGTGGAACGAAAAAGGTTCCGGAGAAAATGAATTGAGCCGCTGTTAACCACTCAAAAAAGCCAGTCTGCATCCGAACTTAATAATACTCTGTATCTTGTTGGAGTGCATCACGAAATCCTTTCTCAAAATCTGACGTTGACTTCAGACAAGTATTGTTCCCAATGGACCAATTAAAGGCAGAAATCAAAAAACCTCTGGAATTGGCTAATAGGAAACGAGACCTCACATCTCTTTACAAACCCGACTGAAATTGGTACAGCTTGGCTGGGATGGTCTACTACAGCCACTGTACTCATCTGGTCTTGCATCTTCGGATTACCAATTATTTCAATCCCTACAAAATTCTCTTAATGGGAAGAACTTCAATTGTTTGGAAGCCTGTAAAAACCATTTAGACCAGACAAAGCAAGAGTAAACGTTTAGGACTGATTGACAGATATGGGTGATGTCATGTGTATATATTTGTCTGTGTGTGTGTAGTGTATAAATGTGCACTCATATATTTATATATATATAGATATATATATACACATATGCTTATATTTGTGCATATATGTACGCATTCCTATTACGCTAACTCACGATGCCAAAGACTAAGCAATTTGTAATGCAGAATCTAAATCTACTGAACTTTATTTCACTTTCCATATTTTAGAAGTAAAGAAAATAGACAACAGCAACAATAGCAGTAAT